CTGCTGGCCAGACCAAGCAGCCAGTGAGAGGCCACACTTCAGGGCTCCTAAGTCTGGATTTCCGATGGTCAGCAGCTGGAGTTTGACAGTGATGTAACTGGCCTCACTAGATACTTCAAAGAGATAAGAAAGGGCTAGGTGTCTGCTCTGAGGTCATAGCAAGCTGCACAGAGGCTGGGTAGCTGAGGACCAAGCCCTACAGTTCCTTGCCCCACACTAATCTCTGCTAGCGTGTGTAGAGATCAAAAGACAATTTCGTGTAGTCAGTTCTCTCCATTCACCTTATATGGGTTCCAAGGACCTAACTCAGGTTACTAAGTTTGCAAGAGAAGTGACTTTACTTGCCAGATTGTATTTTTTCCACTTTAACGAAAGAATATCCCATGCTCCCTTTGACAACACATATATTAAAATTGGAACAATGCAGAGATTAACATGGTCCCTGAACAAGGATGCCATGCAAATTCATGAAGCATTCCATAGTTACAAGAGAAAAAATAAAGAATATCCCAAGTTGGCACGGTGGTGCATGCCTGGGACTTCTGCACTTGGGTGGCTGAAGCAAGAGGATCACTTAGGCCCAAAGGTCTAAAGCCAGCCTGGATAGCAGAGTGAGACCTCATCTTGGATAGGAAAGAAGGGGAAATGGAGGGAGAGGGTAAGGGAAGGAGAGGGACAGACACACACACTTAGAGACAGACAGATGAAAGAGACTCACTTCAGACTCTACTACAGATGCTGATAGGTGAGACTGAGAATGAGGTGAGATGATTAGGCAGGCCCGGAGCACAGCCCAGGGTGGCCTGGGAGAGACAGCAGGCCAAGCTGGGGATAATCAGCAGATGGTCCCCACTGTCAGTCTCCCCACTGAAGCCTCCCCAGCCATATCCATCCAAGTGAGGTGCCTAGCTTAGCCCAATGTGGGAAATTCTCACAGTCCCTTTTCTCTCCTTTCCCAGGTGTTGACCCACATGCTACACCTTGGACTACAAACGCTGCTCCCAAGAGGATACTATAGTGGAGAAACGGGCATAGCACTTCTATGGTCTTAACCTGTCCAACCCCAGGAGAAAACTGCACCTCCAAACTGTCCAGCCCTAAGACATCCAAAAAGGCCCCAGATGGGACACAACCTTAGTCCCACTGAGCAGATTCAGAGAGACCGCACATCCCCCAGGACAGGACAACATAGGTTGTCAAGTTGTCAGTGACCACAAGCCACACACATCCTAGCCATTTCTGAGTTTTACAGGAAATAGCTTACACAAGACACAAGATGGAAGCAGAGGACAAAACAGAGGAACTTTGGTTCTTCAAACTCAAACCTTATTGCCTCTAAACCAGCACCCTTGCTGGGCCGCTTCTTGTCTGGTGTCCCGTGTTTGCACAGATGAGGTCTCAACAAATCCAAGCATGGGGTCTCAGTCAAAACCTCCTTGAGACCTCAGGGACACAAGAGTACCCCTTGGGTCCTACAAGTCTAGGCTCTCCCTGAACCCCGGCATGAAGGCAAGTCTAGCATCTTTCATTGTAAGAGAAGCATGCTGCACAAAACTGGCTCATGGTCCTCCCAGTCCCCATGGGGGTCTGGCAGAAAACTGACTGCCTGGGGAGGGAAGGGAGGCCAGGTCATGCTAGTCAACCTCAGAGCTCCAAGCACTTGATTCCCACAAACACGAGGACTCTGACCAACAGTGCAATAGTGCAAGTCTCTGCCTGATGCTATAGCTACTAGAGACGGCCTCTGTTCACAGCTCTCCCCACCCCCACGCCTTCGTCTGTACCTTATCTTCCACCCCTCCTTTCCAAGCAACAGAACACAGGTCTGGGACTAGTGAATAGTGACAGAGGTGACTCCTCAGCTTCCCAAGAGCGGGCTAGTCCCTGAAGGGCCGCCTGGGGGCTCCAGGCACTATGCAGTGCGCCAGAAAACTGAGATTGCGATGCAGACACGTGCGCAGGGGCAACTGCCCCTTGTGCTTACTTATGTGAGTTAGACGGACTTACTGAGCCAAGAGTCAGAGTGAGGCACTTGGAAAACAAAGCCTGCGGGGATCAGCGTAAGCAGCGGACAGCTACAAGTAAAGAAGAAAACACCAGACAAACTGGGCTACGTGAGGCCACAAACGAGGGGTGGCACAGACCGAGGGCACAGGAACCGCTGGAGATTCTTTAACCACTTCTATCTGGGACCTGGTGTTCCCAGTCCGAACAAGGAAGTGAAACGCAGCAGAGCAGGGCTTTGAAAAGAGGTGGACCCCTGATGTTTGATCAAAGTGGTTTGGGCCAAGGTGGAGCCTGCGAAACTCTGCGTTGCAGAAGATGGGGCGGATCTTCGCTTGGCTAGCGGTGTAGTCTAATAAGGAAGGGCGGGACCTCATCGTGCTAGGGCGGATCTAAAAGAGGTCTCTAGGGCTCAAAGATCTCAGGGATGGCCCCCACCACAGTGATAGAGGCGGGGCCTTGCCGCTCGCTCCACCCCCCCGTGACGTGTCTGTTGCCCGTGCAGGCAGGCGAGTAAGTCCGCGCGTGCGCGTCGCGCGCGGCTCGTGGAGTCGCGGTCTCCCGTGGGTATTCCTGCAAATGGGTTCCGTGGCCTAGTGCCCCATGCATTACCACCCGTGATCGTGCACCGAGGTCCGCGAGGAAGGGTTGCCGCCGAGGTGAGGGCGGCGGCCGGAGGTGGGGGGAGGCGCGCGCCTTCTAGGGGCCGTGCACTTACAAAGCGCCTTTGTCTCACCGCGCAGCCGGTCCGGGCTGGTTAGAACCACTCAGAAGCCGGGCGGCTGACAGGGCCGGGGGACTCGGAGTCCACACCGCTGTGCGGTGACCAGGCCCACATTTTGCTCAGGTCTCCACATCGCGCGGGTCCTGAAGGATGGCAGCCATCCCTTCTAGCGGCTCGCTCGTGGCTACCCACGACTACTACCGGCGTAAGTAGCCCCTCGCCGGCCCCGCCCAGAGCTGGGCTAGAGCCTTGTGGCTGACCCGCCTCCCCTCCCCAGGACGCCTGGGCTCCTCGTCCAGCAGCAGCTCCTGCGGAAGTGCAGAGTTCCCTGGGGACACCGTGCCCCACCCCCCGGGTGAGTGCAGAACCGGCCAGCATAAGGGCAAAGTTCACATCCTGAGGTGGGGGGGGGAGTGTGGAGAGGGACAGGACCCCACTGGGATGACAACATCCTGACCCTCCTTTGCTCCTCTCAGGTCTACCCAAGGCCGACCCTGGCCAGTGGTGGGCCAGCTTGTTTTTCGGGAAGTCCACCCTCCCATTCATGACCACAGTGTTGGAGTCTACTGAGCAGTGAGTCCATCTTCCATAAAGTTGCAGGGATGGCCCCAGTGAAACTAACTTCTGACTCACTGACTTATGCTCTCCCTGCAGCCCGACAGAATCCCCCCAGGCCTCCAGAAGCCCGGTCACCCGTGGCCTGGCTCCTGAAACCATGAAGCAGCCGTCAGTCGTCCATCCTGGCCAGGCCAACACGAGGGCCCCGTCCTGACCTAGCAGAACCACAGCAAACCCAGCTTCAGTGGCGCTAGGCCAGAGCCCCACCCACCCACCCCACCCTGTGAGCTAGGAAGGTTGACGCAAGCAACCAGCACCAAGACTCCAGCAGAAGCTAGAGAAAAGCACCTCTGTTGGTACACAGTACTGAGCTTTCCTGATCCCATAACTGTGCCTTGCACCAAGCAGAAAATAAACTCCCAGTAACCACCTCCCCATGGTATGTTTGAGACATTTCTGAATCCAGTGTTTCTTCTTGCTGCACTGCTCCAAGGTCTTCCTGACAGCTCCTTTGAGACCTTTCCCAGTGATATCCCTGGGTCTGGTGAGCTTTCCTCGTAAGTTGGTCTGGCCCCAGAATCTGGAACCTAGGGTAGCAATTAGCCACTAGGTAGACAGTCCAGGGGAGGCTGGACCTCTGAATGTGTTTGGGGGCTTTCTGCTGGAGGGACCCTATGCCTACAAAGGAACCTGGTGGATGGACTTACTGCGTGACTGGTTCCCCAAGGTTGGGGATACTGGAGAAAGGACCCTAGTAACTAGTAGTCTAGCCTCAGGGTAAGAGGACTGAGGAACCATGGAGGGTGGCTTAAGCCAGCAGAGTAAGGAGTCTTAGGTGGGCACAACAGGCCTTCCTACTGCTTCACCGCTCTGCCTAGGGAACTGAGACCTGTGCCTCTGACAGCTGAGCCTCCCTCCTGCCTGCCCTCGGGGTGTCCAGGTGGCTTGTGGGGTGCTGCCCTTACTCCTGAGCAAGCTGAAGGAGGAGGAGGCGCTTCCCACCTTTGATGGACTCAGAACCAGAAATGTGGCCCACTCAGGCTGAACTGTGCAGACAATGCTGATTGCAGCTGCTCATTGTCAGAGCTGGAACACAGCCAACAGCTCCAGGCCGTGTGCAGCATTGTTCCCCCCCATAGGCTTCTGGTCTTCAGACTGAAGTCCCAAGGGTTTCCCGTTGGAGAGTTGTGGCTTCTCTGAAGTCGGGCCAGGTTATACAGCTGCAGCCAGCAGAACTGGGATGTGGATGTTTTAGTGACTGCAGAACGGTTAGAAAACAGTTGGGAATAGCCATATAAAGAGTGATCCTGCCAGGCGGTGGTGGCGCACACCTTTAATCCCAGCACTTGGGAGGCAGAGTCAGGCAGATCTCTGTGAGTTCGAGACCAGCCTGGTCTACAAGAGCTAGTTCCAGGACAGGCTCCAAAGCTACAGAGAAACCCTGTCTCGGGAAAGAAAAATATTAAACTCAGTTAAAAAAAAAAAAAAAAGAGTGATTCTAAGAGAATAAAGGAAAGAAGTTGGGATCCACTCTGGTTCTTGGATGATAAAACCTCAGAACAGATGTGCCTGGTGCTGGGTGCCCTGCAGCTTCTGGAATCACCTCCTATGATTTCAGACAAAGTAGGGCAGGTCTGTTTGCACATTCTATTTGTTTACACTGTGCAACAAAAACAGTGCTGGCAGGCACCTGTGTGTGATATCAGGACTTTGTTCTCAGAATCTCAGGTCAGACTTTGAAAGTGTGTTCAGGCCAGGCAGCCATATCCATGGTCTTTGCCAGCAGCACCTGTGGGTTTGGGTCACTCCCTCTTCAAAAAGTCCCCGTGGCTTCTAAAAGTCATACTTTTCTCACAGTGAGGCAACCATATATTCAAGGAGCCAGGCCCGTTTTTCCCACAGACCTTGCTACCATAGAGTCACCCTTTGTTACTAAAGGTATTCAGTCTACCTGGAGCTGAGGAAATAACTCAGTTGAGAAAGGCTTACCCTGCAGATGTGCGAAGACCTGAAAACTTAACCTGACCTTTGGAATCCCCATGAAAACCAGATGTGGTAATGCTTGTTAGTCTCAGTGCTGGGGACTCAGATTCTTGAGGTGGGCGAGCCATCTACCCTAGTCTAATTGGTGAGAGATCCTTTCTTTTAAAGTGACACCTGCCTGAGCAACAACATCTAAAATTGTCCTCCAACCTTCACATGCAAATGCAGAGTACCTGGTGACACACAGACTCTTGAAACATAGGAAGGAGAAAGATACATACCTCACCTTTCACAAGGAAAGGGAAAAGATTTCCAAAAAAAAAAAAAAAAAAAAAAAAAAAAAACTGCAAAGTTTAAAGTTGTCTTTAAAATACCAGTTCACTCGGTCAGACTTTCCTGGGAATGGCAGTGAGCCCAGCAGATTCATGATAAGCCAGGCGCATTAAGGCAGTGATTCTGAGAGGATATGGACACCTGTGCAATGTAAACATCCTGGAAGAAGTCGTTGGAGACTGAGTTGATACTTTTTATCTCCTGATACTTTTTATCTCCAAGAATCAAAGTAAACATTTGTGAAAGAAAATCAAGCCAAGGCTAAGGAGCTGTAACACGTGTTTGAGTATAATAGAATTATGACTGATGACACACCTGGATATACCAGATTTTCGGGAATTTTCTACAGCTCATATGAATAACACCTGTAACAAATACAACCTAAAGAAGGTTTCGTGTCTTAGTATTTGACAAGGCTTCTCATAACATCAAATAAGCCTCATTTAATTGCTGTCTTTTATGAAAAAAGAAATCCTGAGGCTACAAAACCCCTTCTGGAAACTTAAAAGTTTAAAGCCACTTTGTTTTTTTGTTTGGTTTGGTTTGGTTTGGTTTTTGAGACAAGATTTCTCTGTAACTTTGGAGCTTGTCCTGGAACTCATTCTGTAGACCAGGCTGGCCTCAAACTCACAGAGATCTGCCTGCCTCTGCCTCCTGAGTGTTGGGATTAAAGACGTGAGCCACCACTGCCCGACTTTTCAACCAACTTTTAAATTAATCCAAGTTAGAAGAATCGAATCTAGAATTTGGCTTTGGAATTGTCAAACACTTGATTAGGTATGACCTTAGTTATATATTTAAGCAAAGTAATAAGATATTTAAAGGAAATCTAAGTTACACGGTTGTGAGCAAAACTTGTCCTTACTAATAAAAGACTGAGTCACACACAACACGAAGAAGACATGAGATTGAACACAAACCCTAAACTGGTTACCTGAGTTAAACTAATTTGAGATACTAGTTTTTTATCTATGCTATTACTAAGATTAGTCCCTTTTTTAAGAGGGGTGTTTAAGACAAGGTCACATGTAGCTCCAGTTGGTATTAAGCTTGCTATGTTGAGGATGCCCTTGAACTTCTGACCCTCCTGCTTCCTCTCGAAGAGCCTGTGATTTCAGGTGCACACCATCATGCTCAGTTATCCAATGCTGTGGGTGGAACCCAAGACTTTATGCTTTTTAGGCAAGTGCTCAACCAGCTGAACTACAGCCCCAGCCCCTAAGCTAATTTAAAAGAACTCTAAATAGATCTTTTCAGTCCTTAGCTTTGACTACATGAGATAGATAATTCCACTAGGCCTTTGACTATCTGAAAAGTATCAACAAGCTGGATTTGGTGGTGCACGCCTTTAATCCCAGCACTCGGGAGGCAGAGGCAGGTGGATCTCTGTGAGTTTGAGACCAGCCTAGTCTACAAGAGTTAGTTCCAGGAGGGGCTCCAAAGCTACAGAGAAACCCTGTCTCAAAGAACAAACAAACAAAAAAAAAGTTCCAGGACACTGAGAAATCTTGTTTCAAAAAATGGGTTGGAGGGTGGGGGCAATCCATCATCTTTTTCTCGCTGTTTTTCTGTTTCATAATCTGGAACACTGAATGATTCTCTTCCTCTCTAAGTGACAACCTTACCACAAATGGAGTTTTCTTCATCTGTTTTGCACATATGAGGTTTTCCTTGTTATTTCTAGTGGTTCCAATTACATTATTGTCATTCCTAACGCTTAGGTCCCCCAGTTCTAGTGCAAACTCGGATGTAGGCCCCCATGAACTATGGCTGCCAGCATTGCTACTGAAGGAAACCTTTGCAGACACCACGGCAGCGTGTCCTTCAGACTGCACAGTGTCTCAGATTTACCACAGATCCAAACACACCTAGATCCTGTCCTGTGTAAAACCAGGAGGCCACAAGCAGATCAGCTTAAGTTTATGTTTCCTTAGGAATTAGCCCAAAGTTGAATAACTAAAATCTCTCAAGCCTGAACAAACTTAAGGTTGTAAAAATGACTTTTATTGTTGAAAGTTTATTTAAACTTTTACCCAGCTTACATTCCTATCCGCTCCACAGTTATGGTCATGAAGGTTTCACAAGCTATCTGCACAAAGCTGCTCTTGTTGACTAATCAAGCAAATGCCACCGACACCACAGAAGCAAAGACCACCCTGTCATGGCCTTCCTCTGTAGGGCGCTCTTGGCTTCCATTTCTGGCTTCAGCATTTTAAATAACAAACTTGTTTAAACCCTGGGGGGGGGCAGCCTATCCTAGTTCAATGATTTTTAACCTGGGGGTCATGACCCCCTTATCAAACCTCTGCCTCCAAAAATATTTCCATTATGACTCATAACAGAAGCAAGATTGCAGTTATGAAATAGCAACAAAAATAATTTTATGGTTGGGGGTCACCATGACATGAGTAACTGTATTAAAGGATCACAGCATTAGGAAGGTTGAGAGCCACTAACTGGTCTATATCATAGTCAGTGCTGACACACCTGAGAACATACTTACTCAGTGCTGACACACC